ACACTGCAGGACAGTACAGCAGGGCTCTATACAGCACACTGCAGGACAGTACAGCAGGGCTCTATACAGCACCCTGCAGGACAGTACAGCGGGGTTCAGTATGGCTTAGTATAGCATAGATACAGCATAGCTAAGGCACTGTAGTGTAGCTGTGAATAGTTCACTATAGTAAAACCCTATGCAGTGCAGTATAGTATTATTGCTGTTAGACAAATGAATAAATTAAAAGAACACTGAGCTCAGACGTGGCTCCCTTGTGGTACAATATAGGAAACTTCTACAGGGGACACTACAGTACTGTATAGTCAAGTCTTATACACTACAGGACAGTGCAGAGACGTGTGTATCCTCCTTGCAGAATCCCTCCCAGGGCTCCTGAGCAGTTCTGCATAGGCCCTGTATACCAGGCTGGGCTGTGTCCCCGGTCCAGCTGAGTCCGGGACTGTATCAGCCAGGGCCTGGCCAGGACACATCTGAGGTCATGGTGAGAAACGGGACAGTCCTCCAGGGTCAGGATGATTTCTAACAGGCAACTATCACACCATCCCAAGAAAAATATACCATAGCAAGTGTTGCTTAAATGCTGTTAGCCTGCCTACAAGCTGAGCTCCTTTGACTTGTCAAACACACACACACAAAACTACATTTCCCAGCATGCCTCCCCGTCCCTGAGACCCTTAACCTGTGAGGTCAATGGAGGTCACAGGTGAGGTCCTCGGGAACAGGGCTCCATGCCTCAGCTTCAGAGGGGGAAAATAAGAGCAGGGCCCTCCTGGCGGCCCGTGTCACAGTCTCCCTCCCCCTCCCCCAGCGCCAGAGACAAATCAGAGTGGAAACTGCCCTTTGCTTGGAGAGCCAGTACCTTTCAGCAAAAGACTACACTCACACGTCCGGTTGTGAACCACACCTCTGTGCCCCAATGCAGTCCTTCTGTGCGCCTGAGCAGAAACTGAGGCTTCAGGGCCCCTGGCTTGTCTGGGGACCCTGTGCACCCCACTGATAGGGGGGCTTGTGCAAAAGTTGGCATTTCGTCCTGAAGAGGGCGCACTTCAGCTGTGTCACACGGGAAAATGGAGGGGGGGGGTGCCTGAGCCATTACTGGGAATCTGGCTCTTCTGTACCAAGGTGCCCAGTCCGGTTGCTACGGCGACTCTGGGGGCAGGCCCGATTGGCTGGCTCCGTGTTCCATTCGGAACGGTCCAATGAGGAGGCAGCCAAAGGTTGTGACCCCACCCAGTTCCCATCGCCGTGGAGATCTGTTGGAATGGCGTTCATTTAGGAGTTTCTTCTAGGCCGGACCGGCAGGAAAAAGGAAGGAGCCTTTGCCAGCTCGAGTGTCGTCCATCTGAGACGGAATTTATCTTCAGGCAGGGAAGCCTCAACACCCCAAAGAAACCCAAAGCCTTGTGCTCAGTCTGAGCAGCTGAACACCATAAATGTCACGCCTGCCGGAGGCCGCGAGTGGGACTCGCCCCTGTACACAGAGAGTGGAGGGTGTCGGGAACACCACTGGTCGGCCTCCTCGGTTTGCTTCCAGAGGGGCTGGGTGGGACTGGGGGGCCGCCAGGTGTTCCGCGAGG